CACAGCATAGGAGACCTACAATACAGCCCGTGTGTTCATCCACCTCTGTGTTGCCATTACAACAAAGATCACCACAATGAGACCTCGAGTGAAGGCCACTGAAAGCTCCACTTCCTTTATAAACTTATTTTCAAATTTTACTTTGCACTTTATAGCTGTGAGATGGTTAGACACTCCACTTCAGCTCCCTTTGCCAACCACAAGCGCAGGACACGCTTACCTAGCTCAGGAAACCCTGATCATTTCTCAAGTGCACTCACTCAAGTGATAAACTCCAGAGCAGCCCACACTCAATCAGCCACTCTTAAATTAAAACAGGCTTGTTCAGCTGTAGCACTTGCACTCCAGTCCTTAGATGCCAATTGTTTTATGCTTACTTACAAAACAAGCTTTTCAAAGTTTCCCTTTACATCAGCTGATGAGTGCCTGGCAAACACAGCAGTGCCCAAGAGCTCTGTGGAGCAGCAGCAGGGTCTGGGACAGGACCAGAGGAACCTGTGAAGCACAGCAAGCTGGCTGCCCAATTCCCTTCTGGCTGGCAGAGAGCACAACAGCGTTTCTCCAATTTTTCCCAAGTCCTTCTCCTCCCTTCTGTTATTGGAAAAGTGGTTCTGTTTCACTGTTCAAACATGCTTCATTTGCGCTTAATTCCTGCAATGGTGACGTTTCTTTGTGGTAGGAAGATTTCTACTGCAAAACTTTTTGGCTCCTGGCATCTGGACTGTGCTTTAGGTCTTCTTTATTAGTTTTTTCCAACCACACCACAACGCTGACAAACCTTGACAAGCTCCCAGCTGCCCCCAGGTCAGAACAGCAAAGCCCATCCTCTTCCTCAGATGAGGAGGACACGAGCAGCATCACTCCCCACTCACCCATCACCAGGGCTGCATTTTCAGCCGTGCTGGCTGGAAACTTTAGGCTGAATGGCACTAAAGCCAAAGTTTATCACCCCAAACTTTCCAACAGCAGCACCCTGCCCAGGCATTTTCCAGTCCCGAGTTTGCAGTTGGTTTCTGATTGCCAAGGAAGCAGCAGGAGGGTGTACCCCACATCACTCCAGCCAGCCGGCAGCAGAGGGCACCACACAATCACCGATGTGATTTATACACTTCCATCATGCTCCCGAGTTAATTTATAGAGCACAAATTACTGCTACAACAAGCTACAGGGCGACTCCATAAAGCATTCATCATATCAGATAAAAACGCACTGCCACCAAAGGCAGCTCATTTGCTACAGTGCTTTCAGCCAGCAATTCAAAGAAAAACCTTCCAGCTTAGCATCTGTGCGAGCCCAAAAGCCACATTCCCAGAACTGCAGGTTTCACACAGCGAGAATCTCCAGCCTGACCACAGAAGAGCAGAGCAGCAGCTCTGCAGAGCACTGAAAGCCACATAAACACTTGCATTAGCCCAAACACAAGCCACCAGCCCACAGCCTAACTCACCCAGGGTTTACACACTGCAAAGCTACATCCACATCAATTAAACATTTGGGCTGAGGATGCTCAGCAGCCTCTGAGGCAGACAGCAGAGATCCAAGAGACAAAAGGAATAGCTGCATTCCTTCTGCTTCTTCCTACCCCCACACCCACAGATCGTATGTTTTTACTTATTGAATAGTTGTTAAAAAAAGAAAAAGATGAATCTACAGAAAAGTCAATCTGCATTCCGTGAGCACGCTGAGACACACGCAGTGATGAGCAAACAGCACAGTCACGAAGTCAAAGCAGCTTCTAAGCTGTCAGCAGAAACAGTTCAGTACCACAATGCTACCGGCCCCATTTAATGCCAGACCTGTTACACACCCCAGGAAAAAAGGGAAAAAAGAACTTCCCAGATCATCTCCTCTGCTGAGCACTGCACAGAGTGACAGAGGCCACTTCTAGCACACAGCAGTTAAGCAAGGACTAACTCAGAGCTCCAGCTTTTCTAAGGAGATCTGCAGCACGACCTTGAGGCCAGGACCTTGCTGACTTCTCTCCATCTCTCCTCTGTGCAGGGAGAAACACCCGCAGAGCTGCAAAAGAACAAACCCAAAGGCAGAGGAAAGAGCAGATACCTCACCCTCCTTATTAAAGCAAGACACTATTTTCAGCCACCATAATGTTTCCCCTGAACATGTAAATACAGAAGCAATTAGCTGCCTAGGCACTTCCACACAAACCGTTTAGAATAATCTTCCCTGGAATATATTTACATCCTTTCTGATTGCTTAATTTTCTGACACATTTGTTTCGGGCACTAGAAAGATTAAATAAAGCCAAATCACCTATAGTGATGCATATATTGCCATGTTATTGAAGGTAACATGCAGCACAGGCAGACAACAAAAACTCCTGGCTGGTTTCAAACTTCAAAATTTTAGCAATACAACAAGGTTCTAGGAATTGTTTTATAGCTTTAATTCAGCTGTTTCTTAAAACGTTTCCCCCTCTTCTGCTTTTACTCTGAGGGATAGAACTACTGACTGAAACAGCAGACACTATTTAAAGAGAAAGAATGAGCCTGGACAGAGATTTCATTGAAAAGCTCAATTCTGAAGTACATAGGAAATGTCCTCAATTCAAAGATTAGCCTGCACAAAAAGACAAATTAAAGCCAGAAACAGAAGAAAATCTTTTCTGACTGCTCTGAATATATTTTTTCATTATATTCTCTGCTATCATCTGGAGTTTTTGTATTAAGAAGTCAGCTCTTTCGAAAGGCTTCAGGAACAAGAAGAATATTCAGACAAACAGCATATTCATTGACAAGCTGGAAGTTGATTATTAAGTACAAAACCCATGAATGCTTGTTGGGACCAAGGAAGGGAGGCTGGAACCATTGATTGTGAGGATGCCCAAAAAACTCTCTGCAGTCAGCTGGCAGATACCTCTATGACAACAGTAAAACAAACCCACACAACTAAACAGAAAAACAAAATCACATTTGAGTTGTTTTTATCCTGCTTCATCTGAAATTATTTTTACCAAGACAGCCTGTTGTCCTTAAGGCTATGTTTTCCCTAGCTCAATGTAACTGGAGCTATCATTGCAGGGCCAAGTCATTCAAAAAATAAGCTCACAACACAAATATATCTTCACTCACAGACCCCCTGCAGCCCATAACTCCACGTTAATTAGACTGGAAGATGAAGCCCTCAGCCTGAAACCCAGCAGCTCTGATTTACACAAGTGCAGAGAGGTTTTACTGCGAATTTTCCTGCGAGCTGCACAGGCGTTTCCTGCCCAGCTCCACACACCATCAAAACAAAAGCAGATCTCAAATCACTGACAGCTGCCATACTTTACAGAGGCATAAAGAAAAATGGAGCGGGCATTGTGTACAACATGGGCAGCTCAGGATAGCTGAGCACTGAGATCACTGCAAGGACACAGAAAGCAGCAGAGATGCTGCCTGGCTTACATCCACCCAAAGCCTATGGTGCAAGGACAATTTTGAAAGACCAAAACCATAAAAACCAACTTGCCACTTTGAAGCCTCCTAAGAATAATTACCAACTGTCTCCTCGTAACCTCTGGAGGACACATGATTTTACAAAGGTCTTCATTTCACCCTAACACATGAAGCTATGGAGCAGGGCTTGGTTTTTACCAGTCATGCAAAATCGACTCCCTGCATCCCACAGAAATACAAGCATAAGGCAGCAACATCAGCAACTCCAGGCATGTAATGATCACTGTGTGACCAAGTCAAAAGGACTTCTGCACAGATTTGAGGATCTGCTGCAAATTAATGTTTTGTGACAGGCAACAGCTGATCCCTTTCCCCAGCAGCATGGGACATGAGCATGGTTTTTTCCAGACTTACACTAAAAAGCCTGAATTTGAAAAAGCATTTCTTGGGGGAAAGAAGAGCTCAGTCCCAGTTTGAGTACAGCTCTTTGAGAGCCTTCTCTCCCTCAGAGCAGAAATTGTCACAGCAGGTTTCTCCACCTTTACGGTGCAGTTACAGCATGAAGTCTCCAAGGAGGGAAAGATTTAGACGAATAAGAGTTTTAAGTGGTTTTGAACAAGCAGAGCCTTTTAGAGTGGCAGCTGAACTGATAGTTACACAATGACATTTCAAGCTTTCAAGTCCCAATCATTCTTAATGGCACAAAGCTAAACCCAGAAGGGGACAAAGCTATTACACAGCCAAAAGTAAGTGCAGCTAAACTGTGCTTCCAAAACGTCTAATTTGGGTGATCCAGCCTTCCTGACTCACACGCCGCACAGACCGGTTTGGCTGTGAAATTTACTACTACACCAGTGGGACAGGAAAGGAAAGCAGCCATGTGTTGCAACAACCTCAGGCCACATATCCGGCGGGCATCCTCTGCCTCTCAGGAAGAGTTTTCCGCTTTTCCCAAAGGAGCATCGCTGCTCTGGCACAATCCGCCAGCTCCACCCGGTCCTCCCTGCGAGCCCTCGCCCTGAGCTCTGCGGGAGGCAGAGTAACAGGTGATGTTTGCTTCCCACACCCTTCCAGGGCAGGTAAGGAGAAATGGCACGGAGGCACACACCCTTGGGAAGCGGAATCGCCGTTCTTTTCAGTGCACGGCTGGGACCAGCCCTGCCTCGCTCCTTGGCGCAAGAAGCAAAGACCTTGCTTTATTATTCTCTTACCAAGCTCAGCCAAAAAAAAGGCGAGGAGACCCTCCCGTGAATTGCCAAGAAAGTACTCGCGCTGCCCCTCCTCCGCAGGCACAGGATACACAAACCAGCTCCTTCCCGGGGACCACCGAGCCCACCCGGCTTCCCTGCCCTGCCCCATCCTCTGATGGGGGCGGCTGCCGCTTCTCGCTGCCCCCTGTGATGGGAAGGGTCGCGCCCAGCCCCGCACACACCCCGTGCGACAGCAAATCCCATGAGAGCCCCCCGACCCTCGCTCCCACCAGAGCCGCCCGACCCTCGCCCGGCGGATCCCACCGGAGCCCCCCGACCCTCGCCCAGCGACTCCCGCCGGAGCCCCCCAGCACACCCGGGGCCGCTCAGCCCCCCCAGCCCCGCCACTCACCGGCGCCTCGCCGGCCGCTGCCCCCGCGGCGGCCGCCCCGTCCCCGCCGGCCGCGCCGCCGCCCTCCAGCTGCCGCTCGCGGTACAGGGACCAGAGCCCCACGTTGGGCAAGAAGACGAGGGCGGCCAGCGCCAGCCCCACCGCCTGCAGCAGCCGCTTCTGCTTCCGCCGCATCGGAGCGGCTGCCGGGCGCGGGCCGAGCGGCGGGAAGGGGCCGAGGAGCCGCGGGCAGAGCAGGGAGCGCGGTCCGGCCGCCCCCGCCGCGCTCCCGGAGCGCAACTTTCGCCCGCGCTCGGCGGCGGCGCCGGGCGGCAACTCCGGTACTTCCGCTCCGCTCGCGCGGGGGGGCGGGGCCTCGGAGATCCCGCCCACCGCCCGGGGAGGCCCCGCCCCGCTCCCCGCTCATTACCCTGCGCTAATGACCCTCCGATAATGAGCCCCGCTAATGACTCCCTGCTAATGACTCCCCGCTAATGACTCTCTAAGAACGGCGCTCCCAGGGTGCCGCGGCACGGCGGGGTGTCTGGCGGAGCGGGATTCGAAGCGGCCGTCGGTGGTAGGGAGGGGGTCACGGTGGTTAATTGGCTTAAAACGCCTTAATGAGGGAGGGACCCCTTAGATGGGAGTGGGGCTGGGAGAAGCGGGGCAGGCTGAAGGATTAGGGCTGTAAATGCTCCCCAAAAGGTCCGGGTGGCCCCCACGGGCACGCAATAACCGGGGGACATCAGTCTCCAGCAGGGATGGAGATGCCATCGAAGCATCCCTCCAAATCCATCCCCATCCCTGGCTCGCATTAAAAAACACTGCTGTTTAGCCGGATAGCAATTAAGTGGCTTCAACTATAACGAAAACGACACAATTTAGAGGCACGGGATAGTGTTTGAAGGGTGTTTTTAGGGAAAAAAGCAATGGCGGCACAGCTTTCCTAAGAATTGGGAGCGGATCCGTGTCCTCAATGAGGAGCAGCAGCCCCGGCGCTCGCTCGGGAAGATGCTCTGCCAGCAGAACAGCCGTGAGGCTCGTCTGTGTCAACAGCGAGGCTCTGACAATCCACTGCCCTGCTGGGCACTGGCAAAATAAATATTAGTTCTCTTCCAATGCAAACCCCCGCGGGGAAATACCGAATTTCCTGGAGCGACAACAAAAAGGAACCATCACGCACCCCAGCATTTGCAGCTCCTGCCACCCTCGCCCCACATCAGCAAGTGGATTTAAACTTAAATAAACTTCCATAACCCACTAGATGGCATCTTCTAGCAGATTTCAGCGCCTGCTGCGAGAGGCAAATTATCAAGGAAAGCATTTAATTTAGAGAGCAGGTTAGGGTTCCTAAGTCTAACTACACGTTAAGGCAGCTTGCACTTTCCTTTTAATTATCGATGAGAATTTGTCGCCAGCTGATTTCTTTAGCAGAAGTGTTAACGCTTCCATTGTTTCTCCGTGGGTGGAGAAGATAGCGACCCGTGAAATCCCTTCACTCCTGCTTTAGAGCAAAGCGTATTCCCTTTATCATCGCTGAATCACCTCCGGCAGTGCAGAGACTCGGGCTGCTCCTGAATAATGCATAGCCGCTAAAATTGTACAACAATAAAGCTACATATACATTACCTGGTGCTGCGAGAATCCGGGCTGGAAAGCTACAATACCTCCGATTTAATGCTGCAGTGCCAGTGTACTGCCATATGGACCCTTATAATAACATCCACATCCCCTTACCTCTGCGAGAGCTCTTTGAAAAGTGGCTGTGAAATAGCAGGAGGTTTCCTAGGGATGCACACAGGCTGCCCTTGGCAGAACATCCTCATTTATATAAAGAAATGACAGCCACAAAGTTTGAGAGTTAATTAAAACAAAGCCACTCGCTGGCTCGACATATGTTTAAATTTAGGATTGTGAGCCTGCTCGCTAAATTAAATGTTTGCTTCATAAATTGGCTTCAGCAGAGTTGCACAAGTTTTAGCAGGGAGCAGATTATGGCTGGTGCTGCAGGTAGATTAGTACTTTGTACATGTGAGAGCATCCTGAATGATCAAACCCTCTGAAGAGCCTCTTAGGAATTGCAGTCTGGCTGCTCCTCAGTGATCACTCTGCAAATGGATGTTCCAGGTCTTACTTTTTGCTTTAAGAGGGAGTGAGTCCTGTTGGGTTTACCAATTAAAATAATTTATACTCTATGCAGCTGCCTTGGTCCCAAATAAATAGATGTTTCTTCTAGTAAAGGTAGAGCATGTCTCCCTCTGCTCTTACTCCTGAAGTGTTTTGGTGGAGACAGAGCTCTGATTTTGGCCTGTTGGATGCAATGCCTTGGGGATTGATGGAGTACATGCAAAATAAACACGGATTTCCATTTCTGAGAAAGGAGAAAGCCTGTGGCTCTTAAGCCTCTAACTGGAAAGGGAAATGGTGTACCTTCCCCAGGCATCTTTTCAAAACAAATATAGGATAAATTAATAGCAGCTCAATCCCTGTCTGGGAGCTCTCTTTGCTAGCAAGCTGGGTTGCCTGGTTTGCAGCTCATGTGCTGAGCTGCTGCAGGGCAGAGTGCAGCAAAAGTGGGAAACGGCAGCATGGAAATGAAAAGCCTTGATGAAGGACGAGGAGCAGGGTTGGCCAGAGGGACTTGGTCAGCAGATGCTGGGAAAGGGCAGGAGAGCACCGAGCAATGCCAATGGGAGTGGATGCGACAGGAGTTGCTGGGACAGAGCCTACAGATGGCATGACAGCACGGGGATGAGATGGCACAGACTGAGGGAATCAGAGCTCTCCTGCCTTCTGGTCTCTGCCTGCAGCTCCTCAGGGCAGGGACTGACTCCTGTCAAGGGCTGCATTTCGACCTTGGAGCTTCTGCAGGGTGGCTAAAGGAAAGCAGGGAGTCCTTTGGATCCCTGCAAGTGAGGGGAATGGTTATGGGATCCCCCCTCTCCTGCCAAGTGGTCATAAGTGAGACAAGAGCTGGCTCTCCATGCTCCCACTGCTGTGCCAGCCTCACAGCGTGGGTTAGGGGGAGAAAACCCTGGATGGCACATCTTCAAGGGGATAAATGGGGAAGAATATCACCCAAGAGCCTGCTAGGTTTCTCCCTTGGGTTCCCAGTGCTGCAGGTACACACTGCTACTGTGGGGGGTGGAGTCAGGGAGCTCCATCCTGGTCTCAGTGTCCACCCTGTGTCCTGTGTCAGATGGCTGCACCCACAGGGAAAGTCAGCTCCTTTTTTGATATGTGTTTGTATGCTGGTGATGCTTTCTCTTCTCTGAAAATCTCATTTTTAGCCAGGAGGAGAAAAGGAAAAACAATCTCTAAAAAATGAATGAAGCTCAGCCATGGCTGTGTCACAACAGGACTTTTGTTTTCGTGGCATTTCTTTATCCTTCGGTGTTTATTAGTTGGAAGTTCAGCTCATATTTCATGTGAGCAGAATTGATTTGTTGGGGTTTTTTCCCCCCTTTTTTCTTTCCTGATAAAAGCCAATGCAGAGGAACCTGCTCACCTGTGGGCAGGAGCACAGCCCTGCTCTGCTCAGTATGGGGGTGTCTGTCAGCACAGCCCCCCACAGCCACCCTGCTGCACTCCCCCAAACCCTGGAGCTGCCTCCAGCCAGCACTCAAGATGCTGAAAAACAATGTAAATGCCTGAATAGCTCACAGAAGTGAGATGATTACAGGCTTTTAAAAAGAAATTGCAAACCTTGTCACTGCGGGAGAGCATCCAACCCTCTCCCCATCCCTCCCAAGAAATGAAGAGACAGCACCAACATCCATGAATCCTTGTGCCCTGGTTGGGAGTTACCTGTGGCGTGACTGACCTGGGGTTTTATCCACATAGAACAGACTTTTAGCAGAAAAATAAATAAAATAAAAATGGTGATCCACCTGAGCAAGCAAAATCCCCTCGGTCAACAGGGAAATCTGCCTGAATTTACTTTGGACAAACAGAGCCCAGCAGTGCAGGGCAGGAGAGGGTGGCTGAAGCTGGATGCTGGTGGAAGATGCTCAGGGTCCTGCTTGGAAAGTGGTGCCATCACCAGTGGTCATTGCTCCAGCCTGGTGCAAAATGGAAAAAGTGACTGGGTCTGTCTGCAGCCTGGCGATGTGCAAAAGCAATGAAGCTGTGCAAAGGGGTTTCCAAAGTGTAACATTTTTGACTCCTCTGGCCTTAAATCAGGTAATTTCACTGATTGCCTGTGGCAGGGGAAATTGCTGATGTCTAAGTTGAAGCACAGTCCTGGAAGATGAGGCAGTGATGGCTTGCTGGGAGGATAAATACCAGAGCAGAGTATGAAGCAAGGAGGGAGCCTCACACATTCCACATTGCAAACAGATACATATCCTACATATCCACAGATTTCCTTTGCACAGGAATATGTTTTTCCTCAGGACTAACATGAATCCATGCCCCTCTTGGCCAGGCTGCCCAATTTCAGGAACATTGGTGGCCAAGAGAAAAAGCTCTTGCTGCACTGTGCAGGGTCTGAATGGTCCCAGCTCTCCCTGCTGGACTTTGGTGGTCATTGAGGACACCACTTCTCCAGGCAAAGCTTTGCTTGTCAGGCTGCTTCAGTTCTAGAACTGCTTTCCCAAAGCAGCCCTGACAGTTTGTGCATAATTATCAGTGGGGCTCAGTATAGGAACGAGGAGACTGAGTGTCTATTCCTGGCTGTCTACTCAAGTAACCTTATTTTAAAGGAAAAAAAACCCGAAAACCACAAATGTTGCAGTCTCTCTGGCTGGAATAGGCAATGAGCCTTGTCTGCTCCCTGTGCTCTGAATTCAGAGCTGCTGCAATGAACAGGACTCAATCCAAGGCTGGTGGAGCCAGGCAGACAGACTGCAGTCAAGATGTCCCCAAACCTCCCTGGATCCCTGGCTGCTCTGAGCACGCTGTGAATTTTGAGGCCAACACTCCCTGTGCTTCTCAAGGGGGTTGGAAGCTCACGCTCTAATAATTAAGGCAGCTTTGAACATCGTAGCCTTCAGCCTTGCTTTTCTGTTCCCTGAAGCAGCATTAGTGCTTGGAACAGGTACCAGCTCTTAGAATGGGCATGCCAAG